TGCACAAAGAATGTGGCTTAGAGCAAAATTGAAAAGACGTGGGTGCAGCAACGGTGCTGTGACTCCAAAACGCTTGGGAAACTCTGGACTAGGATATTTGAAATTCATGTACTAGCACCATTGCTGGTAGGAGAGATGGTCACCCGAAAGCTTTTTCGCTAACCCTCTTGGGACGTAACCCTCTTGATCTCTCGCTGACTAGCAGTGAATCTGACATTGACGAAAACAATCAGGAAAGTAATGAAGACAATCAAAATGATGTTTAGGATAATGTTGTGAATCCTTGGATTATGATTAGTGGTTCTGAATTGGATAGAGATGATCCCTATGAATTTTTAGAAAAAAATAGAGCCTTTAAATATGCCTCATGGGATAAGCACCCCATTTGAGTACTTATGCTAATTTTTACACAATAAATCATTAAAATGTTTGTGAGAGAGAATAATAATAATAACTAATAAGTATGCAGACAACTTTCTCAGTAACACCCAGCTCAAATAAACCATATTTGGATGCACAATGTTGAAAAGGACCGCTCTGTCTAAAGCAACCGAAAAGTACCCCAAGGGCAGGAAAAGAAGTAGAACTCTGTGCCAGGGGTGTCTCAAGGGTCTCCATGGGCCTTATTTCCCAAAACACATGTGTTAGGATCCATTCATGCTTCATCCATCAAAAAATTCACATAATTTAATAATTTACACCGGTAAGTCATGTTTATTCTCAGTCGAAATCGACGAGTCTGTTTACATGCAGGAAAAATCATGTCTGGCGAGTTTCGCCACAACAATGGGTCTTTGGAGGCATTTGTCAGGAGATTATTGAGTGTTTCATGTTTTGTGTACAAGATAGATCAGCAGATACACATTACACTTATGCCGATAATCACAGCACACATCCTGCTGGGCACAACAGTCATGTCAGATCAATGGAGAGCATATAATGCAATTGGCACCACTCCGGAATAGACTCATCAAACGGTCATTTATTCTGTTAAGTTTTTGTATCCAAACTGAGGTGCCAATAGCCAATACCCAAAGCATTGAACGATTGTGGAAATCTGCAAAACAGAGAACAAGCGCCACAATGGAACACACAATGCTCGATTTGTATTGTATATGTGTATTCATGTGGCATCAACGTGTTAAAGTAAATGGTTTTTATGTCTTCAACGCAATTCTAGACGATATTGTTCAATTTTGGCCACTACAGCAGCGGAGGACCTTTAAAGAAGTAAGTATGTTTTTATTCAAAATAACATTTGTTTTATTGGAAGTGTGAAATAATGTATAGTAATTTTTTAATTAAATTTTTTTTAGGCTAATTCAGATTGATTAGGTTTAGGGATACATTTTAGGGTTCATGTTAGGTTTAGGGATACATTTAGGGTTCAGGTTAGTTTAGGGATACATTTAGGACATAAGTTCGTGGGTCACGATAACCAAGATGGCGGCCGCGGGTTGATCT